TTTTTTTTTTTTTTGATTGTCTTTAATTCTCATAAAGTTGCAAACGGTGGCAGCATATGTAAAAACAGTCCATATTAATTATATTACAGAGGTTTGAGCCAGTAACACCTGCCTGGTTTTGGCCTTCTCATAGCATTTATTAACAATAAAAATAAATGTAATCAACATATAAATGTCTATCATTTGGATTAGGTGCTGTTTGCTTTAAATAAAAAAATAATTTAAGTCAAATTTGGTCTGGAGGGGTTTTAACTATTGACTTCTGACATATTTTCAAAGCATGAACACTCAGGTTTAACAAATTTAAGACGGACTGAGCCATTGTTTGTGCTGTTAGTTTACTTGTAGGAACTGAGGGGCCAGGAGGATGTTGTTCCACCTAAGTGTCAGTGAAGGGGTCCTTCAGGAAGCCTGAGGAGTTCCTGAGAGGACGGAAGAATCAGTGGAGGTGCCTGCGGGTCCAGAAGTTCACTTGATTTAAAAAATATATATAGAGGGAGAGAAACCCTCAGCCTTCATGTGTCAGAGTTCACCATGGAGGAAATGATGTCCACCAAACTGTCCAGTCCAAACAGGTAGCCGTCCTCTCTGTTCCCCTCTACCCATGATGCTCGGTGGGTTAGTTCCTCTCCATCAGGAAGAGGCGTGGTTTTCCCAAAGTCGATCATCCAGACTTTGGCTTGGCCTTTACTGTCATGGACAAACAAGAGGGAGCTGCCGATCACCTGCAGGAAACAGGAAACTTCACTGAAACACAACTTCTTCTGAGTTCAACTACAGCTCCACACGCCCGCTGCAGAACATCATCTCACTTCTTGCTTCGTGATGTCAGCGTGAAGCATGCCTGCTTGACTCTGTGTGTGTGTGTTGTCAGGCTGTTAAAATCAAGAGAATCAGTCTGTCCATGAATTAGTGAACGATCCCGTTTGTTTACTACAAAAACGGTACAACAACAACAACTGAACCTACTTCACAAATTTAAAGAATGTGCAGCTGATTTAATGTTTATGCCCTGAGGCATTGTGGGTAACTCGAGAATTAGTTCACTCAAAGATGAGCTGACAGTTATGTTAAGACATGCCTAAACAGATGCTCTAAAACTAAAGAATTTTTAAAAAGTCTTGAAATAAAGTGAGCTAAAGTTTCTTCAGACATTTTTACCACGATGTGGCAAAAACATGATTCAACAAAAAAACAAAGTAAACTGCATTCAGTCCAACTTAACCACTAATTTTTATCAGTGTGTCAATAAAAGCTTTCCATGCATGTGTGGACTGTAAACCTTTTCTGTACGGAGAACTATTTGTTTTGACTTTGATTTGTGCAGGTAGTGTTTCAGTATTGAACGTGTGTCTTTACCTCGTGGGTTTTGAAGAAGGCGGAGGTCTCCAGAGTGACTCGGATTTCTTTTAGCCTTGTTAGATACTGGTTCTGTAATAAAACAAATGAGAAATAAATAACACGAATTTCCATATTATCTTCTTTGATCCAGTTCTGATGCAGCCAGGATTCTTGTCTGGGTCTGAATTAGAGCTGTCTTTGCTAACCCGAACCCGGCTCGAACCGGGCCGGACCGGACCATATTAATGTGATTAACGTCCGGGCCGGGTCAGTCTCAGGCTTTGATGCGGTTTGACAAATCATCCAGCACAGCACAAATAAAACTGAATAAGAAATGCACAATATAAAATTGTGTAAATCTTCTTAGAGGAGGAGGAAGTAAGTTTACTGAGGAGGAATGGAAATAAAATAGAGTGCAGAAGTCAATCAGAAAAGAAAGTAGTGCTGGTGGCGCATTGCGCAGCGATTACACGTGGCCCCGCCCGCCATGCTCTGCTTCACAGCAGGTGTTTGTGTGCACCACAAACATGATGAAGTACTGGAGCGCAAAATCTTTATCCACGACTTTCACAGAGCTGCACTTTTCCTGTGGGCTAACTTTAACAAACTTAAAAAGATGACACCTTCTGTCAGGTGCACATCAGGTCCGCACCCCGCTCTCAGCTGGCCACACAACAGAGCAGCCCCAAGAAGCGACAACATCAAAAGCTGAAGCGAGGAGCGCGTTCACATCACCTCCATCCAAACAGAGAAGAACAAGTGCTTTTGCAGAGTGGGAGAACGCAGTGCATGAGCCAGAGTAATGATCAGATTACACTGTACATCACTCAAAAGCATGCTACGGCCGATAAGCGAGATTTGCTGGGATTTTGGAAACTAAACTCAAATGTGTACTCAAAACTGGCCAAGTTGGAGAGACCTGTGCTCTGCATCCCAGCAGCAGAAGCAGCAGTAGCAGTGAGCGAGTTTTTAGAGCAGCTAGCTGCACAGACCAGCGGAGGACTGTGCTCAAACCTGCTACAGTGGACAAAATATTGTTCTTGACAACATGTCAAACTGTGTAAGTAGAGATAACTTCTTGACAGATCCATCCATCCATTATCTTTACCCGCTTATTCCATTTTGGGTCACGGGGGTCGCCGGTGCCCATGTCCAGCAATCACTGTGCAAGGGGCGGGGTACACCCTGGATGGGTCGCAAGTCCATCACAGGGACACATAGAGACAAACGAGACAAACAACCATTCAGTCTCTCACTCACACCTAGGGACAATTTAGAGTTACCAATCAGCCTAACATGCATGTTTTTGGACTGTGGGAGGAAACCGGAGCACCTGGAGAAAATCCACGCATGCACGGAGAGAACATGCAAACTCCACCCAGAAAGGCCCCTGGACCGGGGTTTGAACCAAGGACCTGTTCACTGAGAGGCAGCAGCTCTACCAGTTGTGCCACCGTGCTGCCCCTTCTTGACAGATTTTAAAATATATTTATAATTTTGTATTTAGGTAACTGGGGTCTAATTCCAGCTTTATTTCGCAGGTTCGTAGCTGAAGAAGCGAGGCTGTGGCTGATTATATGACAGACCCGGCGCAAACTGAGCCAACTGTATATATGTGCTTTTTATTTTGTTCATGTTTGTGCAATTCTTATTAATATATTTTGATCATTTTTGTTGTTCTTTATCACTCACGTTGCTTTTCTTTCAGTCAGTCAGTCCGTCCATCTACTGTCTTTACCCGTTGTCTGTTGTTTGTTATAGATATTTTGTTTATTAGTTATTAGCATAAGCATTGTTGTGGAATGTAGGCCTTTTCAATTTATTTTTCATGCACACGCAGTTTTATTCTGTGGTGTAATGCGGGTGAACGTTAAATTGCTCCGTCATCAGCGACAGCATGACTCAGCTTAATTTTGCACGACTTTCTTTTATATCTAAATTAAAATAGACTTTTTCTATATTTTTCCAAATAATTTTGCTCTAAAAATATTTTTGTTCATCTGCATAATAGCCTATCTTTAGAGTTGATATTTTTAGGCTATTTGTTTTGTATGTTAATATTTGGTGACTTAATAAAAATAAATCTTATAGCTTCCTTTCATTACGTTTTTAAAACTATCATGTCAAACTGATTTGCTTACAAAAGCAGTAAAAGCTTAATTTTAAAAAGTCTTTTTTTTTTTTTTAGGGTTCGGCCCTCTATCGACCAGTAATCCGTTAGGTCTGGATGGGGCTTGGAAAAAAAAACTACGGGCTTGGTCCGGGCTGGATTTATTGGGCCCAAATGCAACTCTAGTCTGAATTAAGTTTTGGAAAGAAAAAACTGAACTTATTTCTCTATTAGAGAAGATTCAAAAGTGAGGTTAAATAATACAATTTTAAAAGTTAGTACAACGTTATATTCCAAAGCCCTATTTCTGTTCAGGAACAAATCAAATCTGCATCCATTAAATCTCTCCTTTTAGTGTCAAACTGTTTCAAGTTAGTTCTAGTTCAAGATGTTCAAACGTATTGTCAAGGTGACCTTGTGTCAAAGTAAAGACTTTTCCAGACCTCATTAAAACTTTCAGAAGTGCTTCTTCGTTTTTTATGCAGCAACGTGCCACATCTGTCTTTTTTTTTTTTTTTTCACTAACAACAACCTGGAGATAAATGCCAGCCCAACTGGTCTTTAAACCAGTAACCCAATAAAGTCCACCCATTTGTCACAAGATTACCCAGAAAGCCCTGCAGCTCACTCAGTCTCGTACGTTCAAGTACAACATGTAATTTAAATAATTTAGACTAAAATACGACAGCAATCTGCAGAACTTATTGTTTCTGTATATTTTCATGATATGTAATGAAGCCAGAATACAACAGTAAGACTGTAAGTGCTGAACTCTTAGGCCTTCTCTGAAGGCATTGAAGGCCGTGAGAGTTCCCTACTGGCTCTTATCATCTAACTTAGGGTGACTGGCCACTACATTGGAGGCTGACTTGTTTCCTCACTATGTGGGCGGGATCATCAATGTAAAGTGGGCGGGGTCATAATTGGTCTATTTCTGTGTTCGAGCCACTCCGCCCCGCGTGGTCCTTAATCGTCCTATAATCAGACATGAATTTCTTTAGTTTATCCCAGCACTGCTTATAAGTCCAGGTGTAGCCATGCTGCACCATCATCTCCGATATCTCTCGTTAAATGAACTAATTTCTTGTGGTGCCGTCCGTCAACACGAAGAGGAAGTGGAGGTTCAGATGTAGTTTGCAGTTATTGCTGGGCGTCATCCAGTGACGTAGCTCTGCTGGACAATCAACGGCTGCTGTCTGCTTACGTCAAAATCGTCACCTTAGAGCTGCCCGCTTGGAGCCTCAAACAAGGTGGTCCCATAAACCAGGCTGAGTGGGAGTGGGTACTGGTGTGGGGAGGTCCTTAACTGGTGCCATGTCGTGTGGAGCCGAGGAGAGTTGAGACAGTGGCAAAGCGCCTTCCTCATTTGCTCCTGATGTTTTACTTAATTCACCACACCTGGACTGCTCTTTAACACACAAGTTAAACCATAAATACTCACCAGTATGTCTTTGTTTCCTTTAACAAAGTCGCTGAACGCTGCGACGACTTGGTCTCTTGTCTTTGTTTTCTTAAAATCTCTGTTCACCGTCCCGTCTTCTTTCTGCAGCAGAGAGAACGCACTTTGCATGAAGCGTATCTGGACTATTTTCATTACACGACAATCAGAGTTGGGAACATTAAGGTTCAAGCTTTTTATATTTCATTTTCTGGCTAGTTTACCACAACATCCAGGCTGAGGAGTTTAGGGTGTTGAAGGAGGGCCAGAGGATGGACAAGAAAAGCAAAACAATGTGAGGAAAGGAAAAGGAGGGTAGGAGAGATATTTTTAGAAATTTAACTCAAAGGGAAGGATCTTTGACTCTGAGCTCATGAACCTAAATACCAACAAACTTCTTTAAAATATTTAATCCTCTATAGTTGTTTCAAGTTTTCTAGTGTTTTGTTTCTAGTTTACTCATGTTCGGGCTGCTGTTTAATATACTGTATTATTTTACATTATTAGTGTTTAGTGTATATCTTACATCCTTTATATAGTGTTTCTTTTTATACTTTATATCTTTGCTATTTTTGGGTGTAACTGGGACCTTGAGTGCACAATTTTGTTCCACCTCGTACCACATGTGATGTGAATGACAATAAAGAACCTTGAACCTTGTTTTTGGGTGAATGCAACAGGTCAACCTGGTTTTGGGAGATTTTACTTATTTAAAATTGTAAAATAAATAAAAAGTATCTCAAAATGTTATCTCTTTTTTTTTTAAACTGTAAATGTGAAGTACAAATATTTGTATTAGAAGGGTATTGGTGAGTGAGTCTGTTCACATTAGTCACAGTAATTAGAGTATTGTGCAAAAGTTCTAAACCATCCCAATCTCTTAACTTTCACTTCCAAGGAACCAGACTATCATCATTTAAAGTTGTCTTGAGCAGTAGTTTGTCTGGCTTTCTGAAGATCTATAAAAGGGCTTTATTTGTTTTTATTTTATTTTTTTTACTTTGGCTTCTTTTCCAGCATATTATTTATGGTGTGTTGGAAAAAATCAGGAAACGTGGAGGCCAGGCCAAAAAAAAATCTATCTATAAAAAAGTTATTTAAAATACAGAGAAAAATCCAGCAAAAAAAGATTTTCAAAGAAATCACCTTTATGGTGCTAAACTACAGTTATATGTGTCAAACTGTGTATTTTTGGTATTTTACATAGATTTGTTAAATAAAACTGGAACAGGTTGTGTCTTTGCGACAAGATGTTGGTAAGAAAATTTGTTTAAAATGTGTTCAAAGTTAAATTGTCATTATGCATCAACAGTTTTAGCTGTGTGCCATCTCTTGAGTGAGTTTAGGAGTCTTTTTATGCCTGTATGACTCTCAGGTCAGAGCTAAACAAACAAAACAAACCAAAACCCTCTGTAGCAAGAAAAGAGGTGAAAGAAGATTTTGGAGAAGAGGGCCAGTGATGCTTGCCAGTTAGGTGATGCAGTGTGGAAAATGAGCTTATTTTATCCTGCTTGCTGCCAGGCAACAAGGTAATATGTGGAAGCAAAACTACTTTTTTCCATTTTTGGTTCGTCTGAGAAGTATTTGACCCTCTCTGTCACGCGGACATCATAATTAACCCTCCTGCTGCCCTTGGGTCAAAATGACTCCAGAGGCCTCGTGGGTCATATTGATCCAAGGACAGCAGGAGGGTTAAATATTCTGTATTTTCTACATTTATATAAGAAATACTTTGACACACGTCCTGCAAACTGACGTCAATACACACAGACACACACATCTCTGTTTCTTGGGATAACCCTCGGTGTCATGGCAACGGACCACCGGGAGGCCATGAATGTCCTTATATAGCCAAGACCCACAGAGACAAAAAGATTTGTGAGTGTGGACAGAATGTCAGTACCATATGTCGAAGACTGAACAGCTGCTACTGACAGGTTTCATGCACAACAAAGTACTCATGCGCACGCACGCACGCACGCACGCACACACACACACACACACACTTCAGAGGAAGTCTCTGGGAAAAACAGGAAGTTAGATCATACCCTTGACAAAAAACACAGAGGAGAACTCTGGAAAAAAGAAGGGAAGGAAGTCCCCCCTACACACCTTTCTGTTTGTGAGTCTTACCTTGACTCCTTCTATCCTAAAGCCCAGAGTAGCTGTTGAGCTTATGGTCTCTCTCCACTGCATGTATCTGGGTTTGGTCACTGCCTTCTTGTCGTTCTCCTCTGTCGTAGGTGCTTCCGGGTCGACCTCGACCATTTTCTGGAACATGTCAGGTCTCGGAGAAGGCTTCTTCCGAGCCTTGGTCAGCTCTTCCTCTAGGTAGGTCCTGAAACAAGGGAGAAGCACAGTTGGTGGGCCGTGGAGCAGAGAAAACAGAGTAGATGTGAGACGTGATGAGTGGGAGGAACAGAGAGGGTTAAAGAGAGAAGAAGGTGCTAATATTTTGATATTTGTTTCTGAACAGCAAATTTACAAATGTGATTTAATTTTTTTCTGCAATGTCAGTTCTTTTTGTTGTAATGTACTTTGCAAAAATGTGTCAGGCTTATTCAAAAACAGGTCTGTTCAGCCAGAGGAACAGTGAGACAATTACAAAGATTCAAACAAACCCAGAGTCAAGACGAAGATTCTTGGAAGGACAAACCATCCAAAATATTAGTAAAAGAGCCTCAGCAGCTGACCTACAGAAGCAACTTTGGCCACATGGTGAAACAGAATAAAACTATTTCAAAACCATTAAGACCAGCATCTTGAAGTAAAGTAAAAACGAGTACAGGTATACAGTGTCATGTGTTCCCTCACCTTACTCCCATCTTACAGTCCATCACACACGGGGAGTCAAACTCAGCCAGCAGATCCTCCATCTGGTTGTATTTCTGGCCATCCTTCTCTATGTCTCCATGGTAACCAGGAACGTACGGACGAAGCACATCGTTCATCAGCAGGGACAAGCAGCGCTGCTCGCATTCACAGTGTTTCTAAAAAACAGAGGTGACAAAAGGATATCTGAAGCTGTTGGACACTCAGATTCTGTCGTAAAAAATGAATAAGTTCTTAAAGACGAACTAATCAAAAGCAAATTGGTGCGACGTCACCTTCGGGAAAGAGGGACTTACTTTTAATATACGGCCGTTTGCTCCCGCCTTGAAACTCCCTGTAGAGATTGGTACATAAAAATAAACAACACTTTTACTGTGAATCAACAGCAGCAATTGTATTTATTTTATTTATTAGCCTTTATTTAACCAGGCAAATTCCACTGAGATCACAGATCTCTTTTGCAGGGGAGGCCTGGGCCTAAAGGCAAACTAACATGCATGTTTTTGAAGAGTTTGAAGTACGGTGGTTTTGGTTTGCTGAACTGACTTACTTTAAGAATAACTAACAGATGTGATTTATGGCAGCTTCACACAAGTTGACAAACAAAGCTGTAGTCTAACTTTTTGTTGCTGAACCTTAAAGTCTTACATCTTCTGATGTTCAGTGGGAAGATTTGTCAGTTAATATCTTACCTGTTGCAGATATTTCTTTGATCAGCATCAGGTTAATTCTGACTGGTCTGATAGGGGCTTGTTTCGAAGCAGATTTCTTCTAATGCGGTCCATGCAAATTGTATTTTATAAACCTTTACACCACCATCCATTCCACAATCTACAGGTATTCCAGATGAAATATGCTACAGCTAATTGCTACTGTTGCTATTTGTGCTTGAAAAAGCACAACTCCATGTAAATGACTATGTAATGAGAAATTGTATGTGAAGTAAAGGTTTACAAAGAAAATCACATAAACTGTTGTGAATTTTTAAAAGATTTTAGATTTAAGATGACAGTGATCCCCTTTAGCCTTGTGCAGCTAGCTGTTAGCTCGTCAATCTGCTCAGAAATAAACTATTGCTCCAAACTGATATCAATCAAAGAACTACTGTATCTGCAAAAGGCAAGATGTTAATTATTCACAAGCTTCCCACAGAGCCTCCTTTCAAAAAATCCAAACGATCCTGGCCTGAATGATCCAAGTAAGGTGCTGCTGAATGTTTTTTAATCCAAAACCTTCCCTTAACCCACGAGGACTGTAATCTCAAAGATGCAGCTCCAACAGTCAGACATGTTTTCAGAACAAAACTCATCATGTGTGTTTGAGTAGAAACACATGTAGGAGGGAAACAGTTGATGGTGTGAGTTAATGAGTAAAATTATTAATTTATTCATTCATTCAAACTTTATTTATACAGGTTAGCCTCATTGAGTCACGAGGACTCATTTACAAGAGTGACCTGTTTTAAACAGATAACATATAAAATACAGACAACAATAAGCAAATAAAATCCAATAAAAGAAGTTATAAACACAGTCAAATCAAGATGCCATATAAATATATTATCATGCCATATTATCCAGGACAGGATCAAATAAAAGTTGTAATTGTTTAGCTTTAAACCTTCTGCGAGAAAAGTTTAAGTTCTTATGATCCATGTTCTGCACTGTGTTCACACACCTGCATGTCCCGCCAACTGAATCCAGGGATATTTTTTCTTGAAGGACATGATGCAGTGGGACCACTGGACCATGGTTTTTATCTTCTTCCATGACTTGTGCTGCAGACACACACACAGAGGTTACATCTCGCATCAAAGCTTTCCCACGAGAAACACAAATCAGAACGTTTGTTTAAATGCAAAAGACCTTCAGAAGGATGGACTCTGGAGTGGTGGTGCGCTGTTCCACTGTGCAACCACACCTCCACAAACACGACTGTAACAGAACTATCAGCCTGACAACATTACTGGCAGACTTCGAACAAGTCAAGTGAACTAAGAAGTTAAAATACAACTTTTAAGTAAACATGGTGGAATGTGCCTTAAAATATAACACAAGTGATGACTGAAAACCCAACTGAACTCCCATCTGTTAACAACAGAGGAGAAGCCTGAGCTGAAAACAAACATCCATTCTTTCTTGCTTCTGTTTCTCTTTAGAGCATCACGTTAACCTTTCACAACTCCATCAGCAGGGACGAACTTCTGCATGTCTGATGGAGTATAAATCATCTTTAAAGTTGCTTTATTTCAAACGAGTGTACTTGTGATACTCCGGCTAAATATATATTTTTACATTTAAACTCAGTGTACTGGTTCAGCTTCACTCTGAATTAGGTTTAGGAGGTTAGAGTTACAAAATATATTTAATATAAAAAAACACAATATATTTTTATAATTTCAAAAATACCAAAATGAGTACAGAAAAATGTCACACTCTAGATAAAAGTGGAAAAATCACAAACGCTGAGGGGACCACGCTTCATTTTACACTTTTGAGAACTGACTGCAATAAAAAAAAAAGAGCAGATTTAACAAGAAGTTTGGACGTCACCATATCTGTCATTGGTTTTAGCACATATTTTTAATCAAAGTTCATGCTCAATAATCCAGGTTAAAAAAAAAACAAAAAACAAAGTCAGGTCATCTGGACGTTTTTTTTTGTTGTTGAAATGTTTCGTCCTTCATCCAAAGGACTTCATCAGTCCGAGGAGCCACAACAAACTCAGTCCCACAAGTGGCTTACTCACATAGTGGGCCAACCAGTGTTATGGTGATAAGTCCAGAGGACCTGACTTGAAAACTGAATCTGACTGAAAAATGTTGGATTTTATACCTGGATTATTGAGCATGGACTTTGTTGACCTGACTTAACTTTGTTGTTTTTTTTTAACCTGGATTAATGAGCATGAACTTTGATGTTTTGAACCACTTTGGCCATGGCTGCCTCAGAGGAGTCAATGGGGGAGAAGGCGGACTCCAGAAATCATCTTATCACCACAAAACTATGTGAGTAAGCCAGTTTGTTGTGGCTCCTCGGACTGATGAAGTCCTTTGGATGAAAGATGAAACATTTCAACAAAAAAAGAAACCGTCCAGAGGACCTGACTTAACTTTGTTGGACACATAGTACTTTTGTTGTTCCAAATCTTTCACCTATTTACCTGTTTAAACACAACTTTCTATAAATGGCATGAGCTGGTGTAATATTAATATTTGGTGTTCTGGTTAAGCACATGATTGAGCAGCTCTGAACTGTTAAATTAAAGGGAGGAAAGCATCTGCCAGTTGAGTTCTCAGGATGTTTTGGCTAATTCCTTGAAGTTTACTGCTTTGCTTAATGGCCATTTAAAAAAAGTATTAAACACACACACACACAGAGCTGGGTATCCCTGACCCTGAGGAGCTGCCAGGTTCTTTCCCACCCTCCTTCGCTCTCTTCTCTTTCTTTTTTTTTGTCTCGGTTGTTTTATAACTTTTTAACTAAACTCTGGATCATTGAATTGGGGTTTCTCTTGGCAACTCACACAAACACACAGACACACACAAAAGCAACGGCTCTCCTTGTCCCCGGCAAGGACACATTGAACTGTGGGAGTCCTGCCTCACAAACACACATTCACTCACAAACAGACACGCACACAGCTTTGTTGATTCTGATACAAATCCAGGTCTCTCCTCTCTGCATGCATGGAGAGCAAACTTTCCTTTAACAGCCACGTTCATATTTTGCTTCAAAGTAACCCCAGCTGAGAAAATACTGTGTTTAGAACGAGTAGCAAACAACCATCAGTGTGCTAATGATCCATTGTTAGGCTGATGGTCCTCCTTGATCATGTGAGCAGCTGGTTTTGGTTGTCAGCAGCAAAACTGGTTGATCCACTATGAGAAGGTGCTATTTATAAGACTGAGCTGAATACAGCACCTCAGACTGAAGAAGTCTTTTGGATGAAAGACGAAACGTTTCTACAATTTTTTTTTTAAATGTCCAGAGGACCAGATTTAACTTTTTTTTTTAGATTTTTCTACCTGGATTATTGAGCATGCATCAGGATAACTAGTAGATACATTTATTCAGTTTATGAAAAAATAATGTGACATAATAAAATAATTAAACATGAAGCAAAAGCATTACATCAGATGGAAAACATCTGCATCATATTCTGGGAGTTCAAACAGCGCCGAGACACGGCAGCAGAGGAAACAACCGGACAGGAGCTTAAATAATACAATTCTCTCTGGTCAGGTTTGAAAGGTAAATTTTGTTACAAACTATCTAAGAGGCGATCACACTCACGGATTTCTTCCAAGATGCAAATACCAGAAGAACTAATATTATGTCTCCAAACAGAACGAGTGGAGAAGAAGAGCAGCAGAAGCAGCAGCGAGAAGGAGGATAAAACAAGCGAGGAGAGGACCATAGAAGGAGACATATCACTCATGTCACATAATCTGGACCTGAGGAAAATTCATAAGCCGATTGGATGACTATCTATGGTTAACTGTGTCTGAAGAGTCACATGGAGTTTGTTTTTTTCTTCTTCTTTTCTCTGAACCAGTGGAGGATTGAGAACAACTCAACAATAATAGGTACTCACAAGTTGTGGAAATCACATGATGGAAACTTGTTGGAAGTGAGGTCATCTAAAACGGCTCTCAGTGAGCAGCCAGTCCAAACAGTTTGTGAATCAGGCAGTTTGGCTGCTGCAAACTGATTTATTGTGGAGAAATCCTAAATTGACCCTTTAAGTAGTGAGCTAAATAATTTCTTTGGAATTTTAGTGAGCACTGAAGGATTTGTTGTGGTTTGAAGTTGAAAGTGCAGCAGCCTGGAGGCAGGAAATCCCCCTGCATTTCCTAACACTCCCTTAGTAATTAAACTAAATTGCAACCATGACAATTAAAATGTTTGGTTTTGGTTTGTGCTTAGCGGAAAGTTGACAGGATTTACAATTAGCAGACCATCAGACGAGGCTTGAACCAGATAGTCTCTCATATTTTGTCACAATTTTAAGACTGTGGGCATCAAGCTACAGCTTGGTAAGTGGACAGCACGTTCTCACCAGCAGCTGGTTAATATGAGCCGTGGAGGGTAAGAGCCAGCACCACCCAAGCTGTTGAGAAATAACAAACATTGCGTGTAGATTTAGAAGCTGTGGACATTAAAACACACTTTGAAGACAGGAGAGAAGTTTCCATAACTTAAATAAAAACTTGCTGTCAAACATGACTAACCAAGAACTAAATTCAGGTATTAAAACTAATATAAATAGTTTGCCAAGGAGGTGACGGTACCTGAGGGCGGCTGCTGCGGCGGCAGATGATGGTAATGATAAAGATGGCTCCGAGTGACGCAACAACGCTCCAAACTGAACACAACCATGCAGACCACATTGTGATTGATGGGCTATCAGTCAGCCCAAACAAACAAACAAAAACCTGAGAGGTATGATGATCTGTGCCTAATCTGTGCCGCTTTCAGCTGAACAAGTCAGCTTGTCTGGCTTTTCTCTTTCTAATGCTCCACGACATTTACACTTAGGTGTCTGGCTGTGCGCACGAATAAACAATTGTGGGTCATTTGATTGGCAAAACAGAAGGTAAACAGAATCTGAGCATGCAAATTTCCATATGCGGCCCAACATTTGAAAGACGGAGCTGAGTGGGTATGAAAGTGAGAATGCACGGTGTTGGAAAAAGGTGGATTTAACAACAAAAAAAATATATATATATATTTATCTACTTATATTTGACACAAAGTTGTAAATTATGTGACTATCAGACAAAGAAAGACTGGGAAAAAAATTGTAACAATGTCTAAAATAAACTAAAGGAAACAGCATCTCCCACCCACTCTGCAGTGAGATATTGAAGCTGCGGCTCTGCTCATTACTCAGCACTGTTGGAGCTGCACACTACACGTGAATTTTAATAAATGCACGCAAATAAATGCATAAATTATTTGTGTGGGATTTAACATAGGGTTTTGTAATGATCTTTCACTGGAAGCTGATAAAAGATGCTTTTTATTAAACCTGCAGGTTATTACAGTTTTACACTTTGCGACTATTTGCCATGATGGTAATTTTTAAATTTATCATCTCATTGTTTAGTCAGAAAATCAAAGAATGAAAGATACTACACACTAGAGAAGCAGCTCATCATCAGAAAGAAGAATTAACTATGTTAAATGGTTTTATTGATTCACTTTTTGTTAAATGACACTCTCACGATTAGGCTTTTTTTTGTCTCACCACAAATAAAAAAATTTTTCAAATCTTTCCTAAGTTGTTTCTGAGAGCATTAAGTCCACATCGTGCGTTATAAAGGAACCAATTGCAGCTTTTAATTGTTACTCAGTATGAAAGTAGAAGTAGGTAAACAGAAAGGTGCTTGTGTAACACAGGATAAGAATTCCTATTTTTTCTTGGTGGGGCATAGTGGCCCAACTTTTTTTATTTATTAAGAAACAAAACATTGTGCACTTTTCTCAGTTATGTGCCGAGGCTAAATCAAGTGCAAACTGCTAAAAACAAGCGTTGAACAACTCCACACAGCTTGGCGATAGATCCAGTCCAACATTGAAGACCAATTTTATTCTAATTTGTTGCTGGATTATTCATCCTTTGGCTCTAAATCAAACACGTCAATCTACAAACAAACTGTTCATGTTACAAGGACTGCATACACTTGTGTTTTCCTTATCAAACACTAAAACCACTGTAAATCGTTTAGCACATGACGATCACACACCAGTGAACAACATGAGAGCAACATGA